TGTGTGTGTGTGTGCGTGCGTGTGCGTGCGTGTGTGTGCGTGTGTGTAATATTTAAGTACGTGCTTGGTCAAGTAACATAAAATAGCATTCAGTATAACAATGCTTGTCCATTTTATTGATAGAATATTCGTTAACAAAAAATAAATCATCGGTTAATTGGTTAATTAAAAATAAATCATCAGTTAATTGGTTAATTAAAAATAAATCATCGGTTAATTGGTTAATTAAAAATAAATCATCGGTTAATTGGTTAATTAATAATAAATCATCGGTTAATTGGTTAATTAATAATAAATCATCGGTTGATTGGTTAATTAAAAATAAATCATCGGTTAATTGGTTAATTAAACTGGAATTATGTCAGACAAAAAAATGTCAGAAAAAGAATGTTCAGACATCTTAATATATATGCACCACTAACGGTTGCTAAGGGGTCTCTAGGGCTGAGGTGCCTCCCACAATGAAAATTAGAATTAAGGTAGAGTAGAACAAAACCTCTACATAAATTTCGACTGAAGGTTGTTTCAGCTCTCCGCAGCAAAAACAAATTTGGTTAATTTTCAAAACAGAAACGTTGATTTTAACAGAAAATTCAAAAAAAAATATCACCGATCCAAGCCCTTCAAACATAAAATTTTCTGACCAGCGGTTAATTAATAAATTACGCCTCGGCTTCTTCATTTTCGGTTTCTAAGCACAGCGATTCTTCAGTTTCAGTTCCTTTGATTTTGTATACGGCGATAAAGTTACCGCCGACATAACTAACGTACAGTATGTTTTGGCTAGTTATTAGGGTCTTTTTGGGATTATCAAATGTTTGTATTTTCAAAAAATATTTTAGATTTTTATCAAGAATTAAAATTTCACTTTGAAGGCAATCACTGATGACGTATATGTTGTCGTAAATGTCATGAGACAAGTAAGCTTTTGTCATTCCGGTATATTGGTCTGAAAAGCCATCACGTGTTCGGAAAATATACACGCCTGAAACACGGAAAAGTTCTTCCAAGTAAGAGTTTGTT